TTACTGACCTGTTACATCATTAGGACATAATTGTGACAACTAGGTTTTTACCAAAAAAAAAAAAAAACACCTCACACTTGTGGACAATTTTATAAACATATCACCACCCCAATTTAAAAATAAATGAAAATAAAATGTCTCACCTCTGTTTATGTTTCAGGACAATTTGGTCCAGAATTAGCATTTTTACAAATATTTAACCACCCAAATTAACAAAATAAAATAGACTAATAAAATAAAATAAATCTCACCTCTGTTTTTTGTTCCAGCACCATTTGGTCCAGAATAGGCATCAGCCAGTCTTCAAACTTACAGTAATTATCATTTGGTACCAAGAGATTACCTATTCTATGACAAAGCATAATTATATGTATTAATAATTGCTTATAAACACCACAATGATCTAATGAGGAACTGTTTTCTTACCTGTTAATGCCTTGCTGTCGTAGTTCTTTGCCTTTTAGGCTGAACTCGCCGAGGTAAGTGGGTGCTAAACATTTGATAAAGTCTTCCTCAATCCCTCCTGCTGTGGTCACTATCACATCTACCTACAGAAACATTCAAACAACTCAACATAAATAGATTCTTTTCATTTAATATGAACAGAATAGATAGTGGCAGACCGTCCTAGACAGATGTTATTAGCTGATAGAGATCATGAAACATAATGGTGCTCATACAAAGTCACAGTGTGGCCGTACCATTCTGTGCTGTGCGAGGTAGCGAATGCTCTCACGCACACCGGAGCTGATCAGGTTGGATGTGTAGCCCAAGAAAATGGTGCATCCTGAAGCAGATGTATGTGAATCACAGCCCTCCTGCACCGGCTCCAGTCTCTTCTCTATCTACTCCAACCACACACACAATCAGTGCTGGAGCTCAAACATGACTTAGAGCTACAAGACTGAGATGATGAGATAACTGATATTTGATTGCTGAGATTATGTTGTTGTGTAGTATACACAAACTAATTGCATGTTTCTGTGATACTTATACGTTTATTGTTTAATCATACTTTTTATAACATATTTACAAGACAACATTTGATGCATGAGTAATTGATGTCCCATCTGAACATACAATGGCCCACAAAAGTACTTGGACACTCAGGCAAGAGTTAAAAATATCTGAATGGCATTGCATTGGATAACAAAACATCAAACCATGTAAAACTGATTTTTTTGAAAGAAGTCTGTTATGTTCATCAAGGCTGCATTAATTTTATTTAAAAAATACACTAAAAACAGTAAGATTGTGAAATATTACTATTTCAAATAACTGTTTTAAATTTTAATATATTTTAAAATGTTATTTATTCCTGTGATGTAAAGCTGAATTTTCAGCATCATTACTCAAGTATAGGGCTGCACGATAAATCGAAATGGAATCGAGATCACGCCTTTAATAATATATATATTATTAAAGGCGTATATTATAATTATTATACACCTATAATAATATATATATTTTATACACACACAAAGAAAAACAAGTAGAAAAAAAAGAAGATCAATATAGATAAAGTAGAAGTACTACTTTAAGTACTACTTTTTTTTTTTTAAAGTAAAAGTATTTAGTGTCACATGATCCTTCAGAAATCACTCTAATATTATGATTTACTGCTCATTTATCATACATTTTATTGATGCTCAATTATTAAGAATGGTTCTTATTATCAATTTTGAAAGCAGTTTTTGTTGCCTAATATTGTTGTGGAAATATTTTTTTTTTTTTCAGCATTCTTTGATGAATAGAAATGTCAAAAGAACAGCATTTATTAGAAATAGAAATCTTCTGTAACATTATACACATCTCTATGGTAACTTTCTTTTATCAATTTAATGCACCCTTGCTGTATTAAAGTGTTAGTTTCTTACTTTTTTTTTCTTACCTCAATTTGTTTTAAGTGCATCACAGTTTCCACAAAAATATTATGCAGCACAATTGTTTTCAACATTGATAATAATAATAAATGTTTCTTGAGCATCAAATCAACATATTAGAATGATATCTGAAGGATCATGTGACTCAAAGATTCGAATTTAACTTGTGCGCAAAACTGGAATATAGAATTAAACATTCGCGAATAAAGCACCGTTTCCATCCAACGTGTTAAAGAGAACAAAATCGTCACTTCCTGGTAAACTGGCACTAAATATCGCTAAGAAAAGTAGGAGAAGCCACTAAATATAATAATTTTCATATATGATAAATTACTTGCGCCTCAGAGCGAGCAGACGAAACACAATAAATGCGGTCACTGCTTTCGGAGGCGGATGCTGCTGTTTGGGAACGCAGTCGTGTAAGACAGTTTTACAGAAATAGGCCTACTTTGATGACAGACTTTGCTCAGGCTTTTCATAACGACCAAAACAACATTTCAGATGCTGTGCAACGAGATCGGTCCATGGGTTAGTCAAGTTATCCCGTCCCATCGTGCAAAGTCACATGACTTTCCTGACATGCGAGGTGGAATTTACTCGGTAAATGTGTTTCCATCGTAGTTTATGCGCATTTTTAGAATTTACGCACATCTTGGCGTTTCCATCCAGCGTTTTTTTATGCGATGTTCCAAAATGCGCATAAAAATAGGTGGCTGGAAACATAGAAGACTGGAGTAATGATGCTGAAACTTCAGCTGTGATCACAGGAATAAATGACACTGAAAAATACATTCCAATAGTCATACTAAGTTGCAATTTTTTATTTCACAATATTATAGCTATTTTAAAATGACTGTATAATTGATTAAATGCAGTCTTGGTGAACATAGGATACTTTAAAAAACATTTAAAAAATGTTTAAAAATAGGTCACTTTCCTAAGCACCCAACAGTGTGCTGCTGACAGTCAGTCCCTCACCATCTTGTTGATCTCCTGCACGGCCAGGCCAAAGCTGCTGGCCTGGAAGCCCGTGCTGAGGAAGGACTGCAGCAGGGCTCTGTGGTCCACGCCTCGGTTGAAGTCATAGCCTCTGATCTGAGGCATGTCCTCCGGCAGAGCGATGCTCTCCTTCAACACCGCGTCCCTCGCCACGGAGGGCGCCTCAGCCTGGTGGTCGGCCATCATCGCCCCAACTACAGCAACACAGCATACTCAATATTTCAATACAGTCTTACCAGGGCACAGGTACGGTCTCAGATGGCAATACCATAATACTTTGGATATATGCTTGGTGCTGAATGACTACGATATTTACTACCTTATTTCAAATAATGGCATGGTTTTATCATGGTAAGCACAGTTCTTTCAAACGGATCATGTGTGTGTCATCTGATGAAAGCAGTTTGAAGACTACGCAGTTCCAGTGCTGAGATCAAACACTTCAGCGTCAATAATTGATGAAGTGTTATAAGTTAATGCGCAAATATAAATACATGTTTGTTTTCTATTTCTTTGTATCTTTAAAATAAAATTACACTCACCCCAACCGTTACGTAGTGTCTAATACCCGGCTTGTTAATGTAGTTTATTTCTGTTATCTCACAGCGCTGCACACTTGATCATCCACATGTTCCGAACAACTACGGCTAGCGCGGCGGTACAAACCAAATACAAAACGCGAAGCGCCTTTATACAGTACACCAGGATTTGCTGCGTTGAGTGGAACGGACCTCTTATGTTTTATATATGCTAAGATTGTAATTAAAACCGGAATATTATGCCATTGATGTTGTATAAATGGGGCGTATAAATGACCCGGAACAGCATATAAAGTTACAACAGGTACAAAAGCAGCGTCAGTTAGAGCATAATATATCAATAGTTTGATAATATTTTGAAGCATATTTTATTATAAAAATATGTAGGGTGATAATAATTGTCATTGTTAATATATTATAATTATATATATTATTTATGTAGGCTATTTAAAGATATTTTACAGATTTAAATAAATACTTAATTAATTTATGATTTAAATTATTTATTTTAGTCATAGGTATGTAGTTTGTATATATAGTTAACCCCAAAACGTTTTAAATATTAATGTATGATTATTGTTAATGTAGGCCCGTTAAACAAGAAAATATCACAAGATGTGGGACCTCCAAAGTCATTTTCTTTTCTGATCCGTCTTTGGATAATTTTGACTAAATAAAGTCTATTATACAGGCTTTTTTTATTTATTGCATATAAATATAAATCTTTTTATTATTATTATTTAATTTGTATTTATTTATTTGCTGCAAATACATTTAGACATTTGGAATATTCACCATTGTTAAATGCTTATTTAGCTACATGGCAAATTACAGAATACTTGATTTAATGCAATTTCTATGAAACATTGTAAAACAGGAGCAGGATGATAACACATCTGTGCACACAGTTAAACAAACTCAAGGGAGGTTTCATGACCACCAGAGTGAAATCAAATACTACTGAACTTTCATGACATTTCATGTGACCTCAGAACTAACTCCACCACATCACAGGAGCTTTGAAGCTTCCAGCTGTGTGTGTGTGTGTGTGTGTGTGTGTGTGTTGGAGGATGGAGGGGTTTAGCATCCCATTGAGATATAAAAGCCTCCAAAAACTGGACACCAACTCTTCCTCGCTGAAACAAGAACATCTGAGCTCTACACAACGACTGATGGACTCTTGAGGTAAAATTACAGTCATCATCTATCAGACCTAGTTATTCATTCATTAGATAGTTTAAGTAATATAATTAATAATAAGGTTAGGGCTGTGCTAATAATCGAATGTGATTGTCATGCGCATCTCATCAGTAAAGCCGGTTCTGTGATTAGTAGTAAATCTCCATCACCCGCTTTCAAATGGAGCAGCATTTAGGCTACTACACAGAGCCATTGTTCACTGACAAGCTACGCAATATCGCGTTCATTATCGGCGATGAATCGCCTGCGATCATGAACATGATATTGCGTAGCTTGTCAGTGAACACTGATGGAAGCAGGTGATGGATTTTTACTACTAATCACAGAACCGGCTTTACTGATGAGACGCGCATGACATGATCATCGCATTTGATTTTCTGCACAGCCCTAAATAAGGTTATGAACACGTTTTTCAGGGTGCAAGTCTAATGTTGATACAGCCGTGATGGACGTATACTGCAGTAATAATGTTCTTCAGGCCAGGAGAGCCGTGGAGCAGCTCAGACTAGAGACAGAACTACAGAGAATCAAGGTGAGATGCACTCATCACTCCATAATAATACAAACACAACACCTTTTAGAGTGTATCTTTTGAGTTATTTGTAATTTCATTTGTGTATATGGATGAAAATACGGTTATATGGCTATGACAAAAAAAACTGAATTCCAAGCACAAGAATAGAATAGAATAGAATAGAATAGACACTTAAAAAATCCATGAAACCATCCTTAAAAAACAAAAAGAGAAAGAAAGAAAACTGCAGCTGGTTACGGATTAGTAAAAAATAGGTTAGCAATATTTTAATTTTATGTTTTACTGAATTAACTTGGGCTACATTTATAATTAAAAAAAAGCCATATATTTCATGAACTGATAGAATCCTACAATCAGAAGTACTAATGCTACTGACAACCACCAAAAAGACAAACTCGATCTACTTGTTGATTCAAAGCTCATCATAAGCTTTGTACTTTTTCACTTAGAAAGACGTTATTTTACTGTAAACTTACATGAAATGTGTAGATTTTTATGCAGTTTTTACCGTAAAAAGCGGTGGTGTCATTGAGGCACTACCTTTTCAAAATGTACCGTTTGAAGGTAACGTCTCAGTTATGGTACCTTTAAGACGTAAAGTGTAGGCTATACATAGCAACTAATAAAGCAAGAAGCCCCCGCTTCACATATACGTAGTAAGGTTTCACAAAATAAAACAGAGCAAATAAAGTGTAATGATATTAATAAAAACAGTATTCTTCCACCAAACAGTTCCTCAGAAACAGTTGTGGTTGCAACAAAGTGGTTGCCAAGCAACACACAGAAGTAAACAAAGGTGTATGTGTAGAGTAATTTACAACAGCTCTGAATGCGGCTCAGCCAATCAGAATCAAGGACCGGAACTATCTGTTTTATAAACGTACATTTTAGGTCCTAATGTGTACTTTTAAAGTAGCCTACTAAAATGTTCCATTTAGGGGTAAATAAGGTACAATGATGCACCTTTTAGCATTTGCACCTCAGGATACCTCCCAAGTGACCAGTGATGGGAAGGTTACTTTGGAAATGTAATAGTTTACAGATTACAAAGTAACCCTTTTTAAAATGTAATAAGTAGTGGTCAATTACTTTAATAAAGTAATGTAACTGATTACATTTGATTACTTTTCTAAGTTTTTGTTTTGAACTGTCAATTATTTTGAAACATTTAAAGCAGGCAGGGTTAACCTTACAGTAGTACTCAACACTGATTACTGTCAGACTTTCAAAATCACTTAAATTAAGAGTATAATAATTTAATTTTAAAGCACAGCCACTACAAAATCAGACTTTAGCAGCTCTTTTTACTTTGAGATCATTCTGAGGTTAAATACCGATTTAAAATCATAACAAGAAACCTTTTAATAGCTATGATACTGTTTTCGAAATCAAATCTTTGCATAACTATGACAGGAAACACTGGCATCTAACAAAGCCTTGGAAAAACTGTTAATTTAAAAAAATGAAGCATATACATAAACCCAAATAGGAAATAAACAGTTATCGAATAATCATGTGTCCTGTTCTGTGTACTAAACTCCTGGTGTCTCATAATTTAGAGCAGTCAATGCAATTTATAAAAGAAAGCAATTAAATCTCTGTGTGTGTGTGTGTGCTGCGTGTGTAAGAGAAATATTCAGATGTAACCCCCTTTGTAATCATTAACATATTCATAAGCAACTGTAATTTAATTACACATTTTTCTCAGTAACTTTAACTGATTACAGTTACATTTTGTAATGATGTAATTCCATCACATGTAACTAGTTAGTCAGAAAGAGTGCATACAGTAAAGGAACGTATAGCGTTAACCAAATAACAGGTTTTCACCATAGCATTTTATCATTACATTACGTCTATCATATCATGCATATGTTGGTGTGTCAGATTTCGGCAGCAGCAGAGCAGCTTGTTCAGTACTGTCAGGAGCACAGGAGAGCCGACCCGCTGCTGACCGGGATCAACGCCTCCTCCAACCTGTTCAAAGACAAGAAGACCTGCGTGCTGCTGTGAACTGCTTCTGCAGCAGTCGCCCTTTTTATCTGCAGCGTTAAGAACGACACGCTGACAAATCCAACTGAATTATCAAATTGTGCATTTATAAAGCTTTTTAAAAATCAAAGAGAATTTGATCACGGGACATTCAGTCAGTCACAGAACAATACAACAGCACTGTCTGCAATAACTATAAATAATTCATAAATATAGACATTTTAAATTAGGATATTTAGTAGTTTGCTCTGGTCGTGAAGTGCATACATTTTAAAGCATTGTGCCTCATTTGTAAACCGTATACTTGTGTAAGTACACTGAAGTATACAAAAACAAATTGAACTTAAATCACGTTTTTAATAACTGATTTCCAAGTTAGTGTACTATATAGAGAGCTAAATACTGAAAACCGAGATATTTTTTTGATATTTGTTTGTATTATACTGCATGTGTTTTAGAATTCATTGTATTTTCAGACTAAGTATATTATTAGCATCAATTTTGTTGAAATGTTCAAGAGAAGATCACACAAATCACAAAAGGTGTTCCTGTGTTAAGAGGCACTGAAATGTTTTGCACTCTGCCTGTGCAGTCGTAGTGCGACCCCTTCATGAAGAATGACTAGAAACATGTATCAGACACCTAAAACATTCATTTTTAAATTAAAATTAAACCAATTAAAGCATAATGCATTGATAACTTCGTGGAAATGCAGAGTTGAGGAACTGATTGGTTCTTGTTGTTCCCTGCTATCGGATGCTTTTAGACTTAGCATCTGTGCCTCCAAACTTCCACATTCATGTCACCAGAAGCCATGGCCAACGTTCCTCCTTCAATACTTAACTGAGAAGAGAAAAATCATTTATTTATGATTTTATAAAAGAGTAATAGTGGTATCATCCAACAGAAGTATTTATGAGACATACAGTAATGGCTTTGAACGTGGCTCATCCAATCAGATTTATAGTGCATATGTGTGTTCAGTCTTTTGTTTTTAATTCAAGTGGTATATAATGTGAAGCTCTGTTTGCATTGATTCCAGACAATTAATTTGTTTTGAATAATCACAGTTTTTTTGGTTTGCATCCATCAAATTCTAAATAAAAACAGTATATACTGAAATGAGATTAAGTATCTTTCATTAGATACAAATATTTAATTCAATGGATTATCAAAACTAGGCACTACCACATGGTTATGTAATAAATAATGACAAAAAAGTAAATGCACACTTGAATACTAAGGTGCACGTTACTAACAAAGAGAAAGTATAACTGCACGACTCGACCAATAGGTTTTGTAAATAGATAGATAGATTTCTGTCTAGATAGACATAATATTTAATAAAATGTTATAAAATTCTTTCGTTAAAATAAAAGTTTTTGTTTGAATTCCCAGAAAAAATAACCATAATGTGATGAACAGATCTAATTTGATTTTAAAAAATACAATAAAATCAGTTATACAGTAATACTGAAAAATATTATTACAATTTAAAACTATTTTCTATTGTAATTTATTTAAAAATGTAATTTATTAGTGTGATGCCAAGCTGAATTTTCAGCAGCCATTACTTCAGCCAGCCAGTCTTCAGGGTTGGGAATCGAAAGCAATTCCAATTCCAGAATCGGATACTTAAGGTCAGGAATCGGATATTTGTTGTAAAATTTCAATTTCAATTCCGCCAATCAATTCCTGTGTGCGATTCCTGTATCTTTTATTTAGGTGGGGAAAAGGGGCTGTTAAAAATGTATTCGTCTTTGAATCATTCATTCAAGAGATTAATTCAAAAACACTGATTCATCCAGTAAAGAAAATCTCAAAGTAAATATTGAGGGAGTCATTGAATCATTCCATTCATAAATTTCATGAGATTGTGTTGAATTGTCTAATATTTTTTTCTTCAGAATTGTGAGAGAACAACAGCCTCCATTAAAAAAAAAAAAAAAAAAAAAATCTACATTTTTTAA